ATAGTTGTCCAAATGTTTGTATTGTTCTTGGTATAGTTATTAGGTGATAGGCTGGGATGGTAAGTAAGTCTATGGTGTAGCTCTTGATGTTGAGTGCTTGCTATATCAAGTCTTGAAGATTGCAAAAATTGTTGTATTGTATTGGTGATAATTGTGTTAAAGTTAGTTGAGTTTGGACATACAAGCCAATGCATCTGACTTTTATATGAATTACATAAGATACAGTTAATATCTGGAAAATACTGAGGATATAATATGTGTAGGTTTGATAATGTAGATAGTAAGTTGAATATAAGTTTAATTTTAAAGGTTTTTTCTTGGCAAAGTTTAAAGTTAGTATAAGAGGATAATTTTTTGTAGTTATTGTTTAGATAGAGCCAAGTTGCATTCTAATCGATTTGTGTAGCTAAAGGAATAATGTTTTCCATTCGATGATGAGAAAACCACATTGCTATGATGTGGCTATTACAAATGTTCTTAATAGATTTGCGAGTTAGTTGTTCAAACACATAGGTTGTATATTATAGATAATATGATAGATTGTAGATATTACTGTGTAAAAATTCAAGGTCAGTTGTATAATTTTGACTTTTAGCTAGACTGTCAGCTGTGTTATAAATATGTTGTTACTGTGTGCTGTGATTTTTTGAAGCTTAATTGTTAAGTTGTAGGATTTGGTAAGATTTAGTAATGTATGTCAGATTGGCTAATAATTGTATGAATATTGTTTGTTTGGTCCAAGTGGATGTTGTGTGAGTTTATTGAGTTTAGATATTATAGATTGTGAGTCAATATAAATAGTAATATTGCTGTTTCTTGGGTATATACAGATTGCTGAAAGAATTGCGAGTAATTCAGGCTTGTAGAAAGAGGGCCAGAGTTGAATTGTAGTAAAATAGTTGTGTAATATTGTGTTGTCGACTGTTTGAACCCAGCCATAATAATAACATTGTTAATTTAAAGTAGAAAATAAAGAAAAAAGAAAGTTGTCAAAGAAGAAGAAAAAGAAATTTTAAATTTAGATTTTGATGATGAAGATTAAGTAGATTGGTCTATATTTATTTTGAATGATGATAATAGAAGTGAAGAAAGTAGTAAAGATAGAAGGTTTTAAGAGTTGTAAGAATTATTTTTAGTTATAATAAAGGTCATTAGTTTTTGTTTTAAGAAAATTATAGTAGTATAGTTTTAGATTTCATCACTAGATCTATATGTTATTAAAATTAATAAAAGTTTAATAAATAAGTATTTAACAGAATTTAAATTCAATAGCCCTAAAGATACTATAAAAGATTTTATAATATATCAATTATTAGAACTATTATCTATTGTCCTTTTTATATTAGCCAGATATAACAAAAATTTGTTTGCCCTTTATAAAGATTATTAGTTATTAAAACTTAGAAATATTCTAAGATATAATTAGAGGAAGAAGTATTAATAACCAGGCTGTCAATGGCTATACATAGCTTTAAATTTTAATAATATAAAGCTAATACAGTCAGACCTTTCTAAATACAATCTCTCTAAATGTATATATATAAAAAATCTCTCTAAATGCATATTTTTTCTTGGGCCTAACTAATATAATACTTATAGATTTTTACTTCTTTAAATGCATAACCTTTTTAAATATATATTTTCTTAATTTTTTACTATAGTCCTGATGCTATACATTTAGAGAGGTTTGACTATACTTTATATTTTTTACAAAAAAGAGAAAAACCATCTCTTAAACTATAAGTTTTAGCATTCAAATTTATATACTAAAATTTAAAATAATAGTTTATGATTTAATTTTTTTAAAATTTAAGATATTTACAAAAAATTTTATACAATAATATTTAAAAATAAGGATTACAAAATAGTAAGATTTATTTTTAGATTATAAATAGATAAAATAAACTTTGCTATATGCTGAAAATATCAAAAATTTTAACCTTTTTTTTAAAAAAAAATTTTTATCTTTACTCTTTGATAAACTTTTTAAAATTTTAAGTTTGTACCCCTATAATCTTAGAACAAAGTTATAAAATTAGTTTTTAAAAACAACTTTAATTAATAAAATTTTTTTAATTTTTTAAGTAAAATTTTAACTTTAATTAGAAGCAAAATGTTTTTTTATAGTCACATATATATGAAATTTTAAAATTTTTTAAAAAATTTTTATAATAAAAATTTAGAATTACTAATATTTAAAATTAAATATTTTAATACTATTAAAATTATATTAAAATTTTACTAATTATATGCTGTTCTTTTATTTAAGCTTAGAAATAGAGGATTTAATCTTAATAAAATTTTAAGTAATTTTAAAAAGTTATACAAAAAAAATTAAGTGTTTAAATTTGTATACTATATAGTTTAAAAGATATTAATAAAATAACTATAAAGTCTAATAAAATATATAATAATTATAAATAACTTAATAAAATAAAAAAGTCTAATAAATATAAATAAGTTAGATCTAAAAATACTATAGTAAATATAATCAGAAAGTTGTATTAATTATATCTAGAAGTACTATAAAGACAATAATCTTATTTAGAAATTATACAATAAAACAATATTAGTTCTATCTAGAACATATGGGGTCTTTGCCTTGAAAATCACATTATGGGACATAGTAAATCATATGTCCCATAATGTGATTTTTAAGGCAAAGACCCCATATATAATACTAATCTTATCCAGAATATCCATGGCTAGGAATGTTATATCCAGAAATTATACATAATTGAGAATATTATATTTAAAAAATATATACTGCTAAGAATATTATATTCAGAAAATATATATAGCTAAGAATATTATATTTAGAAAATATACACAACTAAGAATATTATATACATAGCTGAAAATGTTATATCTAAAAAATATACAGCTAGAAATATTATATTCAAAAAATATATAGCTGGGAATATTATATCCAGAAATAATTCTATCCAAAATATATATTCAATAAAATAATACTAAAAATTCTTGTTTGTAAAAATTATCCAAAAGAGAAAATATAATATAATTCTTGTCTGTAAAAATTATTCTAGAAGAAAATATACTAATTTACTGTTTCTAAAATAAAAATTCAAATAACTGCAGAAAATATTACATCCTGTAAGCATATAGGCTTAACTTAATAAAAGTTGGCTCATACTATAATAATAAAAAAATAAAGTGTCTATTACTATTTTAACTTAGTTAAAATAATTCCAAAACCAGCTATCCAAAAAGAAGAGTAAATAATACTGTCGGCCCTCCCCAAACCGATCCTGTCAAAACCGATAACCTGTCATAATCGGTTAAAAATCGATCCACCGGGCCTGTTCCTTAATTTATATCCGATAACTTGCCATTTCTGATATCCGATAGTCCAAATGCGTACGTTTCTGATTCATCACATGATTAACGACCAATCAGAATCTTGCATTTAATGAACAAAAAAGCGGGCGATCAAGAGAGCAGCGTATATACTGTATACAATTTTTTTTCTAAAACTTCTGGCTAAATCAGCAATGTACGCGCTGTTAAGATTATCCTGTAATATATTACCACTATGAAGTTCAGTTCATATTTAAGTACAAGCATGATCGTTTACATTACGCTGCATTTATTAATCAGTAAATAGCTTTTTTTTTATGCCAATAAAGTCATTAAATTTCGCCAGTATAACTTTTCATTTTTTATTTTATTCTTTGTTAATTTTTCAAGTAAAATTTCTCAAAAAAATCCTTTTTCATGTAAATAGTTTAGTGAGGAAAAAAAAGATAATACTGAAATATTTTTTTCAGATATTTACAGTTTAGAAATGATTATGTGGGAACTTACAAGTGGATATCGTCTTCAAGCTTGGAAGTATTGTTCTAATTTACGTTGGACTTGCTTTCCGGCTTTCTCTTTTTGAACCTCCTCACGGATACAGGTTTGTAGCTTGCGTAATGTTTTCATTGTCACTCCACCATCATCGATCCTCTCATCAACAATCCTTAGGGCACAACGTAAAATATTCAATTGTTCTTCTCCGGTTAGGGGCGGTGCAACAAATTCATCTTCTACCTGTTCTATTTCCGTAGCAGTCTGAATCAGGTCTTCATCAGTAAACTGGTGGTGTACTTCTTGTTCCTCATCAAGGTTTAACAAATCCTCAATTGGCATTGGATTACGAAGATTCAATATATCTATTTGCTGTTGGAGTTCTTTAGCCGCTCGTTGTTCATTCGAATCAAGAGGTAGGTTTTCTTCTACATCATCAATGCTTTCAACAGCAATGGGGGGGACGACAGGTATTCCATTTTCATCACGAGGAGATACGATTTTTGTACGGAACCAACATCTTCTGATCGTTTCAGCTGATACTTCACTCCAAGCAATCTTAGTCCATTTCATAGCCTGCAATCAATAGTACGTTAGTATAATTTTTTTTTTTTTTTTTCAATCTATTAACTGGTCTTTGGTTAGTGCGACTAGATTTAGGGGTGTTCTTAAGCACTTTAATCAATAGATCCGAAGCAATTTTTTACTTAGTTGGAAATTGAATAAACTAAACAAACGAGTTACCATTTTGATGAATAAAACCTGGAGGTGTAGACCATCTTTTTTTTTCATGGAGTTGTTCTAATTGGTAAAATTTAGAACCCGCATTTCGCACAATGAATTTTTAACAAGTTGTCATTCGATTAACCGCATTAATTGCATTAACCACTCAATTAATCATAATGGTTTGAACAACATCTTGATCACTAACTAATCACATTGAGGGAGCTACTTGAGAATACCCTTAATTGAGATTAACCTTTTTTTGATTTAGGTTCTCAAGCAGCTCCCTTGATGTGATTTGCTAATGGTCGAGATGCTGCACAATCATTTCGATTAATCGAAATTGATTGAAATTATCTTTATAACGATTTTACCAGAAATTCATTATATGAAATTTAAATTTTAGTCAATTAGTGTAACTCTATGAAAAAGAGATGGCTGTTAGGTTCAAGTTTTTTTTGATCGAAATAATTAAACACGATCTATTTTTTTAGCCAGTCAGATCATTTTGTTAATCATAGAGGGAGATGCTTAAGAACAACCTTAATCAAACAGATTATTATTTGATGATTGGTAGGTTTAAAATTTGTGATTAATGCTGAAAAAGTTGACTCTTGAGTTTTCAACTTGGGCTAACTTTTTTTTTTTTTTTTGTCTAACCACTTGATGTCGAACATCATGGGGAACGTCAAGTGACGCTTTCATGGGCTAACCATTTTTGATTGTATCACTACCTGCAATTGATCTATTTTATAGATATCCTTTTCTCCAGCTTCGTCACGGTCAATTGCATGTTGAAGTTGAATATGACGATAATGAAGTTTGAACGATGCAATAACACCAGCATCCATTGGTTGTATTTTGGATGTTGTATATGGAGGTAATGTGAGTATTTTCATATTAGTCAAGGTGAGGGCACCAGTAACATGTGAGGGGGCACCATCAAGGATAAGTAAAATGTGACGGTTTAATTCTCTCATTTCTTTGTCCAATTTTTCCATCCATTCCTGAAAAAACATGGCCGTCATCCATGCTTTTTTATTGTTACGGTAATAGAACCCGAGCTCTTCACCTGTTTTTTTTTTGAAACATCTAGGTCTTGCGGAATGTCCAATAATCAAAGGTTGAAGTTTGTGGGTGCCATCTGCATTGGCTGTAAATGCAATCGTGAATCTCGTACAATTTTTTTTTGACCCTTCAATTTGGCGAGATGCAATTGTACGGTCAGGAGCCATAGCATAGAATAGGCCAGTCTCGTCCATGTTGTAAATATCACAAAGGGAATACTGATTAGTGGTATTAATGATATCGGGAAGTTTTAGGTTTATGACAGCAACGTCAGCGGAACCACTCTCGCCATGCAATTTAAAATGACGAAAATTATGTCTCTCTTGAAAAGCCTGCAACCACCCATTTGAAAATTCAGGCTGATCACTCTCAGAGATCTTTATTGGGGAGGGAGGTGAGTCAATAGAAATTAAGCAAATTTTGTTTAGTAAGTTTTTTTAAAACTTTAAAGTTACTTAACAAAAATTTGATCAAATTTAATAAAAATATTTTCAAATTAATTTTATAAGTTTATAAAATTAATTTAAAAAAAATTCTATTTAATTTGATTAAATTTTTGTTAAGTTATTTGTATTCAAAACTTCAAAAAAAAATTTACTATAAAAATTTGTTTGATTTCTATTGACTTACCCCCATTAGATCTGCTAACCTTTTACCTTTCGCTTTAATCATGTCTCCATTCAAACGTACAGCCCGATGTTCACACTGTAGTACCCAGTTCGCCAAAGCAGTATCTAGCTCAGGGAACATAATGATACGACGCTTTTTAATTCCAAGGTCAGCTGATGACATTTTATTGAACTCATCTTTTCTCTTTAAAATGTCAGAAATTGTACTTTGGCCAGGGGCTTTTGCTAGCTTGAATTCATCTTTGGCCCACTCCGCGAGTTCCTTCTGAGTAATTGCCGGATTTTCTTGGTAATGGTCACATATCATTTTCCTTTGATCATTACGCAAGTTTCCAACTAAAATAACTTTATCCTTTTTTTTTCCCATTATGATAAGACGAAAGTTGAAAATACAAAAAGTTTTTAGCGACCGGGTACAGGATTTTTAAAATGAGAGTATGATTAACTCGATATCCTTTTTTTTTATTTAGTTTTTTATTTTATTTGTTTTTTTTTTTATTTAAATTTTTTATTTTATTTGATGGCGATTTTTATTTGAATTTACCACCATTGAGATTGCGACAGATTAGTATGGTATAGATGATGCAAAATATCCCTATTTTAAAGCCCGTACTATACTGATCCGGTGTTATATATTACCGTAAACGGCTATATAAAAGATCCTCCTGAATAATAGACCCACCAGGTATTAGACCCGGATGCAGTTCTCAGGATCTTGATTGAAATGTAATTTTTTTCGAACATTTAGATTGCATGTTATAAATGCAAAACGTGTATGCATTTCAAATTTTTACATTCTATGATACAAGCTTTCAGCCGCGTACTAGACCCGGGTCTACTATAGGTTTTAAAATTGGTGGAATGTAACAGACCCGGGTCTTTTATATGGCCGTTTACGGTATTTAGGCTAGAAATTATAGCAGATTTTTTTGTTTGTGGAATATCTGGAAATTTAAGAGTATTTCATTCATAAGGCATTTAGTCGCATCATTCTTTTTCATGAATTCGAAGCTAATTTAGAATTCAATTGACATTTTTAAGACTGTAAACACATTTCTGATTCAGAATTTCATCTAATTTGGTTCTACCGAACCAGATTGGCGTTCAAAGATAAAAAAAAATAAAAAAATAAACATCACTAAATTCATTGTTGGTAATAAACGCAAACTGGTTTCAAGCCTCATTGGGTAAAACCATACTATGGGTATCAATTAAAATGATGTATGTAACGATAAACGTGCGAATCTTTTAATAAAAAGTAACACTTAAACTTTTGGACTGCATATTTGCGCATAACATTTTTATTTAATTATAGTACTTACCATGGATCTTAAGTTTTTCTAACCAAATATATTTTTTGCTGGTTCTGTACGTGCGAAACTTTTAATAAAAGTAGCGATTTGTTGAACTTAAACTTTTGGACTGCATATATGCGCATAAAATCAGATATCTTTTTCTCTCAAATGTATTAAGACTACGAAAAAAAAACGAAACATTCTTTTATAAAACCACGATCTTTATTCTACTTATAGAGATCCATCTAAAATTCATAAAATTGAAAAACCTTCG